TTGTGTAAACTGTCACAGAATAATTGTATGCTTCTTATATAATAGCAAATACTGTTGCTATCAATATATTGCCACTCCACAAACTAAACCATATGGTTCCATCTGTTTCTAGGTTCCATTACAGTACACCTCCTGGTTAACAAACTGTTAACCAGAGGATGCAAATATGCCTCTTCTTTAGCTTTTTCAAAATCAACAAGTTGTTGGTGATACAATTTGGCAGTGAGTGTGATTTATTATGGGAGTTTACATCCCTTCATCCCCTTGCACTGATAATGATTTAAGATAACATATAATATATAAACTGTCACTAAAATTGCATAGCTCTGGGACTTGCTAGGTACTAATAACTCTACTTAAGCCTCAGGAGAAATATTTAATTGTCCTGTGAAGTCAGTCCAGGTTTAATTATGGTCTGAGAACTTTATTTCCTGGACAGCGGTGACAACCTGGGGAGAAATTTACCTCAACTTGGTTTCCAACTTAGACACTAAAGCATTACAGCAATTAATTCACTGCTTCATCTGCAGCTCACCCACCCTAGCTGGCAAAACTGCTTCAAACCCAGCTTAAGGAGTCATGGTGAAACTCTCTTCTAAGTTAGTACCTCTAAAAAATTCATTCTTATTTTCACTTTCGATTGTAGTTAATTTGATCATATGTCTCTCTTCTATGAAGCATCAGTCTTAAAAGTCAGTCAGTGTCTGATTCATTCCAAGCTACAATCATTTGCGTATTTAGGATCTATTTATTGCTACCTGTGAAAGAACTCTCGCTAATGACAGAGCTGAGGACATAATAGATGTTCAATAAGTATTAAATAATAGAAAGTTTCTTTCTCTTTGCTCAAAATTTCAGTTGTTTTCATCCTTTGGTATCCTTATTGTGTTCAAAATTCTGAATACTTTTTGCTCAAATATGTATTTTTTAGTTAGAGCTGCTGCTAAATTTTCAATAATACTATTGATACATCAAGTCCAAATCAGAACTGGAATCAGGTTTTTAAAAATTGTTACTCTAATCTATCTTTTGTACAACTCTTCTAACTCAAACAAAAGCTTTAAATGAGGACACTGATGGGGAGAAAACAGAATCTATGGGATGGCAGCTAAATTTTCTTCAGTTATCCATGTTTCTAGAACTACAAAGGCCAAATGGCCCTGCTCATTTTATTTGAAAACTAAATGCTGTGTCATTTAATGTTGTATTAGGTATTGTCATTTACCTTTTATGCTGACTCTTTTTACTTTAATTTGAGGATAGAACGTAATGTACCATGTGCATAAAATCCTCTAAAGATGGCCCTTCCTTGTGGTGTAACAGGTTAAAGTGCAGCACTGCAAAGCTAGTGCAGACTTCAGGGTGGGGTTCGATCCCAGCCAGACAGGTGACCCACACGGCATAACAGACCTCTCCTGCCTTGCTCACTGCTCCTCTCAGCAGTGCAGTTCATCAATCTGCCTGTTCTGCTCTGCACTCTGTCTCTGATTCTAGCCTGTACCCCAGTTCTTTATGCATAAATAATCTTCTTTTTTAAAGTAAGAACATTAAAAAAAAAAAACAAACCTCTAAAGAAATTAGAATATCTGATAACATCAAATGCTGGGAAATAGCCCACACGCACGCACACACACACACACACACACGCAAGTCCAATTATATAAATCAATCACCTTTCAACAGCTCATGCTCACTGAAGGACAGACAGAGCTCTCTGTGATCCCTGGCATTCTGCCTGCCTTTCAGATCCTTCCCTCCCCTAATGCCAATTCATGTAAACATATCAACTTTCTTTTACTGTGGTAATTGGGGGAGGGGATGAGGGAAGTACTGCTTAAAAAATAACATTTGCTTGTACACTAAGAAATGGGGGGAAACCTCTAGAGATCTTTTTTTTAAAGAAGATCTATTTTCCACCCCAAAATCAATCAATAGTAATTTTCTATACCATTAATCAATATTATTGAGCTTTATGTTCTTGTAACCATTTATTTTTATAATGCAAACAATAAAACTTCTTTGGCCAAAAAAAAATAACAATAATTAAACTCAGCAAATAGCCAAAGATTCAACAACTAGAAGTATTCTGAAAGGAAGCAAAACACAAATTTCTTTTCATGCACTAACATCTGATACTTTAAGTTGTGTTAAAATTTACCGATACTCCCCTCTGACTTCAAATCCATTGGAATTTGAAATTTGAAATTCATTCATTCAATAAAACTGACATTATGATCCCTCCAACTACAGGAATATTACAGAGTCTACCCCATGAAAATTTTATTAGGTTAAACAAATTTGCTTTGTAACAGACAACAAAGTATAAGAATATCTGAAGTTCATTTAAAAATATGTTGCTTATTACCATTCCTAGATTTGAGTACACTGTGATCCAGAGGGAATGATACAATGATTGCTTGAATCTTGTCTCATTAAAACCCACAAATTTACCAAACCCCTCATAGGACACATAAATTATACTTTTGTTTTGTTTTGTTTTCATGTGCCCTAGGCATAAAACAGCTCTGGCCACCAACCCAGGCATTAAGCTTGGATAACAGAGGACTGTGCACTCACTTGGCCCTGACTGATATAAAAATGACTCCACCAATCAGGTATCTCTTTGCCCCTTTCCACAGGGTTACAACCTCTCTTTAAAATAGTGTATTATGCTAGGGTTTGAGCCAGAAGGAAAAAGATAATTATCGATGGTTCCACATATAGGGGAATCAAGTAAGGGACCAGGAAAAAAAATACTTCTAATTTAAAAAATTAACAGGCAACTATAAATCAGAGACATTCTACAGGGGAGGAGGAGAGAGAATGATCAAAACAGGAGAGGGAAGAGCACAAGGAATTACAGTGATTGTGCACAGGTAAACTGGTTGTGGGACTTCTATGGGGACCTCATTTGAGAAAAGAAAACATGTTGTGTAAAATAGATAGGAAACAAAATAGTCAGAAAATAAGTAAATAAAAATAAAATAGTCCTCCAGGAACTCTGTGGCAGTGCAGGTGTTAAATTCTCAGCCCTATCAAGCTAAAGCAAGCCACTGCAGCATGTATTAGTAATTGATCCCCTGCCAGGGAGGTGACCCACATGGCACAGCAGACCTCTCTTGTCTTGCCCATTGCTCTCCTCAACAGTGTATTTCAGTAAATACACCTGTTTTGCTCCTCACTCTGTCTCTGATGAATCCTCTCACTACCCCAACTCTGACCTACACCCCAGTTCTTGTATGTATAAATAATATCTTTAAAAATAAAATACAATAGTACCCCTCCACCGATACCTTAATTTATTTTCATATTTATACTTGGTTTCACTTACAACAAGAAAGCCTGACTAAAACTGATGTATTTCTGATCAACTCAAGACTTGGCTTGGTTCTGCCAGGCAGCAATGCTCGTGATCTGAAGTTCTAGGCTGAGTCCGAGTCATTGGGATTCATATTTAGCAAGCCACTGGGGAAGTCTTGATGTACATTCATCTAAATCTTCAGAAACAATTCTCATGGCCTTTCACTGAGTTTGAATTTTCAGGTAGAATGTCAATGTTAATGAGACATCATTTCTCAAGTTTTGGTGGTGAGAGTTAGATTGTGTGTGTGTGTGTGATGAGCTTTTTTTTTTTTTTTTTTTTACAGTTGTTCATTACCACTTCTCTTACAAATGGAATTATTATCCCACTGCTTGCCTATTATTTTATTTACGGCAGATGTTGTAGAAAGGAAGTGGAGCAATAAGAGGGAAACGAACTAGTCTATTTTACTTTCAAGATGTTGGATATTTTTACATGTAGTATTTTGAATATTAAGAGCAAGACTGAACATTTTAACAGTAAGGAATTCATAATATGATTATAAGAGAATGTCTACACAACCTTCAGGAGATCATTATGGCATAAATTCCTAGCATGCCAGTCCATATTATTTACATGTCAATGTATGCTTGAAAATACTATATATCACTCACAAGTGTAATATTTTATTCCTCAAATTTGGAAGGACCCACAATATAACTAGTGCTTCCAAGAACAAGAGACAATGTGACATAGTGGGAAAAGCACAGAATTTGAAGGAAATAGACTAAGTGGAAATGCTCGCTCCTTCATTAGCCATACAGTTGGAAAAATAATCTCTACCTCTCAAGCTGAGAGGATATATGCAAAGGCAATCTGAAAACTATAAACTAAATAGGGATATTATTTATTATTAATATGTAGTTATTCCTCTGCTTACTTCTTCTAAACACCTCATTATAGAAGTACAAGTTACAAAGAGAAAAGAAAAGAAAAGAAAAACAACTCCCAGAAACAAATCAGAGACAAAGATGGAAAAAAAGTGAGGGGACTGTATATTCTGACTAAAAAAAAAAAAAAAAATCAGTATTTCAGCAACCTTAACACATTAGCTACTCACTAGGCATTAAAATTATGACATCACTTTCTTTTTAATCAACACTAGATGCTATTTTTCACAGTTGAGCCAGTGTACAGAAACTTCTGCACCCATGATTTATACTTTCTGTATAATTCCAGGATCAGATAGAAAGAAGGCAAGACAATAAACGGACTCCAAGTGGAATGGGGTGGCAAGAGTCTGAAATGTAACTACTATCCAGCAACTTCATCTGCACAGAACAAGCAAAATGGGGGTTCTACAAACCAAAACAGATGTTACTGAGTCTGTGCAGAGAAGATGACACAGTACCTACTTTCAACTCAGTTTAGACAAGCTTGTTTCCTTAATTTCCAAGCTGAGAGCAAATCAGAGCAGCAAAATGGAAGAGGAGATGCTTCTAGCAGAGCAAGGACAGCAAAGTGAAATAACTTAGCTGTCTGATGGCAAGAAGGGCACCAAATCAACAAGTAAATAAGCAAATAACAAGTAAATAAGCATCCCTGAAAAATAATCACAGACATCAGATTTTAAAAAGCATGAGTTTGAGGTCATGGCATTTGGGAACTAACAGTTCTTTTGAGCTCCAGTCTAGCTTACCAGGCAGCTTCCAATTCTCCTCAGAATTCTGGAGATGGCAGAGAGCTTCGCATCCGGCAATAAGCGAGTGACAGGGCTGAGCCGGACACCGGGCGGGAGGCAAAGCAAGAGACCGTCTTCCTGTGATTGCCACCTTCCACCACAACAGCCCTGCTTCATTCGGCTTTACTTAAAGTGGCCTCCTGGTGAAAGGACCCTGCTAAAAAAATCAAGTTCAAAAAAATTTTTCTGTAATAGGCAGTTGACAATCACTAGCTTAGACAAGCAGTATCCGTACACGGTGATATGTTCCAACGCAAAATGAATTTAAGCCAGGTATTGGGGAGAGGAAGGGAAGAGTAGCTAGCTCACAGAGGATTTGGGGGGGCGGGGATGGGGTAGTAAACTTATTCTATATGACACTATGAGTACATATCATTACACATTTTCTCAAACCAATAGAATTTGTACTGCCAAATGAACCCTCATGTTAACTGTGGGATGTAAGTGGCAGGACTTGACAGAAGCAGTCCCCTGACTGTGACAAATTAATCTGGAGAGGGCTGTCCACAGTGAGGGAGGTGGGTGGGATGGCAGGGGGCATCTGAGAATTCATTAAGCCTGTCACTGGAATTTTCTGTGAACCTAAAACTATTTAAAAAAAAAAAAAGGCTATTAATTTTGTAAAAAGAGAAAGAAATGGAACCTATTAGTTGTCATGAGACAGGTTTTTCTTCCTGAAAACCTTCTTTGCTAGCAGCACCACTGTAACCACCAGTCTAGGTTACAGACCCTGGAGCCACACATGGCTCAGACAAGCCCCTGAAAATCTTATTCCTCTCTCCTGCTCAATCCCACATTGCACAGGTCACCAAACCCCGAGGATGAATCTGCCACTTATTTCTTAGTTCTATCTTATTCCCCGTGACTCTGCTTCCCTGTGGGTCTTCTTTCTGTGCTTTACCTTGCCAGCCCATCCCCAACCCCCACCAGAAAGCACCCCCAGGGTCATTTGTTCCAAGCCAAAATTGACCTGGTCACACTCCTGAAGGATCCCACACAGTGAGAGAGTCAGCAGCTGTCAGAGACCGTACTATTTCCAGGGGTTGAGATGAAAATGTGCTGTATCTATGTTTAAAAATGGTTTCTCCAAATTCTACTATGAATATGTATTCTATATTATTCATGGGGGGGAAAAACAGTAAATATTCCAGGGGAGTATGGTTTAATATTCTTAACATCAATTTCAAACCCGGCTGTTCACAATTGGGCCCCACCAAGCTATAATACTCTCAGCCTCATCAATTCTCACTCTCCTCACCCTTCTTCTCTCCCAGAGACCTGCATGTAGCAGCTAGATCCTGCCTCACCTTCAGAAGGGAGCTGGCAGTCAGCTTCCTGGAAACCCTCCCTGCGCCCCAGGCAGCAGTATTAATCAGTTCCCCACAGCTCCTCTGGGCTTCCCTAGCACCTTGCTACAGAGCTTCACAATAGCAACGGAAATCACACCTGGCACCTTATATATGTTATCTGTTTTCCCCAGAGATGCTGAGCTCCTCTGAAGGCCACAGGTCATGCCACAGAGTGGTCTGCACTGCCTAACACCAGATCTGTCACAAAATTAATATTGCATGAAGGAAGGGAAAAGCCATTTTTACCATTAACTATGGTATTATTATTATTGTTAAGCCCTATGCAGGGTTTGTCTTTTAACCTGAACCCATGGCTTTGCTGATGGTATACCATAAATTCCTTTGAAACACAGACTCATATAATGCCGTCCTTTCTTCCTGTGCATTTAACAGTCTATCTACTTAAGATGATGTCTATGGAGTGCCAACCAGTGCTTGAATACCTGCAAAGTGTTAAATTGGCTATAAAATACATTTTAAATGTCTTTAAAAGTGGCGTGTGGGCAATTTCAAAAGTTTTATTGATGTTTGTGTATTGTGGGAGGTTGAGTTTCCTGGCCAAAGCTGTGTGCAGAGTGGAGATTACAAACCGATGGAGAAGAATCACTAATACACTGCATTATGGATCACTATTTGGGGAAGTGCAGATTTTTAACTGCCAAAAATACTCATGAAGCAATAGGGGTGGCATTTTAGCTACCATTTCCCCAGCTTAGCTACTTGTCAAAATGTGACCTCGTGGACGCATCCTGCACGCCAATGTCTTCACTGTCCTCGAAGTATCCTTTAGTTATGAGATTCCTCTGCTCAAACCCTTTAATATTTCTCTTTTCACCACAGATTAAAATTTAGTGGTTCTCTTTTGCCTACAGATTAAAATCCAAAATCCTTAGAAACTAGATTTATCAAGTATCGATGATGGGCCAAAAATGATGCTAGGTGCTGGGTATTTCAAAGTAAGAACTGGTCTCTTCTATGGTATTATAGTCTCTAGGGAAGACAGAGAAGACAAAATAATCTAAACTTGTTGTCATGAACAGGTGATGGGTACATTATTATAACTACTGTTACAGAGTCCTGGAGGAAGGACAAGCGCAAACTCACTCCTGAACCAGTAGAAAATAAAAGGGGGAATCTTAGAAATAAAATGTGCAAAGACCACCTCCTTCGCCACATAGACAAGTCTGCAATTCCCAGGCCTCAGGGTGACCTCAGCAACCTTCAGTTCTTGACAGACTTACTGTAAGAATCTCTATTCCCATTATGCCTTCTATTTCACCTCTATTTATAGTCCCAAACCCCAAATGGGACCATTCTAATTATCTTTGTCAAGAGTGACTCAAAAATCACACACAGTAAAAATAGAATTCAAACCAGGGGAAAAACATCAAGAAATAAATCCAAATAGATTACAGTTTTTTTGGATAAAGAGTCTAATATTTGGGAAAAGAGTTGGATATTTGTTTCCCTAAGAACTCCCTTCTACCCCTCTAGTTAGCCTATGAAATCCCGGAGACCCAGATTTTCTTTTGTTATGTAGTCCTAAGATCCCATTTTGGGATCTCAAAGGCAGTAGAGATACAGTAGAGACACAGAACAATTAAATTGAATGAGTAACTTACATAAATCCCTCAAATTTATTAAGTCCCATTTTCTACAGCAATGATTATATCCACAAAATCACAACCTTTTAAAACCCCAAATATAATGAATACAAAAATGGTGGGGGTGATCTTAAAATGAGTATTTGAATGGATAAATAAATAAATCTTAAAAAAAAAACATATAAGGAAGGTGCCACTCCTTTGAAATGACACTTGGATACCAACTTGTCGCTGTATGCAAACATAGCCAATATTTAATAACTGATTTGTGTAAACATATAATTAACCAATAAGCCCTATGGGAATTATTTATGCAAAGATTTGTCTTTGACAAACATTAGCTCCAACTTGAGCTCCCAAAACGCAATTCTACTACCAGCAAACAGCAGAGAATGATCTACAATCTGCCCCATGATAACATTGGGTCAACGACAGACCCCATTTACAATGGTGGTACCTAGATATAGGTTAGGTGTATAGTAGGAAACGTTATCTCAATTTGTGTAATGAGACTCTACAACATAGGCACAACAAGGAAATCACCATTCTAAGCTCATTGCGCAGAATGTATCCCACCCTTAAGCAATACATGACTATAAATGAATCAAGAAATGAAATCAAACCACATGAGACCTAAGATATTTTTAAGTTAACACATTTTCTCATGTTCCATTCATTTCTACCAGCTTGACTTCTAATAATCACTTATATTAATAATAGTCACTCACTCATCAGTGGGACTGGCCTCCCACTTTATGAACAAATTGTGCTCATTTCTGTGCAGTCAACTGGAAACTGGAGCTAATTTCCCCATATGAATGATATACAATAAAAATTATAAGACTGTCAAAAGAAATAAAAGATGAAATAAAGATATGGAAAAATATCCCATGCTCACAGATTGGATTAATAAACATTGTTAAATAGGCCATCTTCACAGCAGACCTCTTCTGTCTTGCCTGCTGCTCCCCTCAGCAGTGTATTTCAGTAAACTTACCTGTTCTGCTACCCACTCTGTCTCTAGTGAGTCCTCTCATCCCCTGCACCTCTGGCCCATACCTCAGGTCTTGTATGCACAAATAAATAAAAATAAATCTTTTTTTAAAAAGTAAAAAGGCCATATTACCTAAAGTCATTTACAGATTCAATACAACATCTATCAAAATCCCAGTGACATTTTTCAAGGAAATAGAACAATTCTAATGTCTGTGTTGAACCACAAAAATAACTGAATAACCAATGTAATCCTCAAAGAAAAATGTAGGTGTCATGCACCCTGGTTTCAAATTATACTACAAAGTGATAGCAATCCAAACAGTTAGTTATGAACTGAACAGAAATACCAACCAATGGATACTAGAGAATCTATAATAAACCTACACAAATATGATCAGTTGAACTATGACAAAGATCAAACAATGGAGAAAGGACAGCTTCTTCAACAAATGGTACTGGGAAATTTGGACAGCCACATGGGACAAAAAGAAACTAGATCATTATTTAACTCTGTACACAAAAGTTAACTCAAAATGGATTAAAGCCATGGATAAGACCTGGAACCACAAAATACATAGAAGAGAACATAGATGACACCCATAGACATCAGGGATGCATTTGGGGACTTATCTCCAATGATAAAGGAAACAAAAGCAAAAAATAAAAAAAAATGAGACATTAAACTCAAATCTTTTTTTTTTTTTTTACAGCAAAAGAAATGACCTCAAAGACAAAAAAGCAACCTGCGATTGGAAGAATATATTTGTACATCACATGTAGTATATAATAAGGGCTACTTTTCAAAATATGCAAACAATTCAAACAATTCAACAATTAACCCAAAATCAAAAAATGGGCAAAAGACCTAAACAGACACTGCTGCCAAGGAGACAGAGAAATGGCCCACAGTGACATTTAAAAAAAAAAAGTTCAATGTTACTTATTGCAAGGGAAAAATGCACATCAAATCCACAGTTAATTTTCACTACACACCTCTCAGAATAGCCCGCGTCAAAAACACTGGAAACAGGTGCAGGCAAGAGCGTGAGGAAAATGAGCACTGCTGGTGGAATGTAAATTGGAACAGCCTCTATGGACAATGGTAGAGAGATTCCTTAAAAAATCTAAAATGGGGCCCTCCCTGGTGGCGCAGCGGGCTAAAGCACAGCACTAAGAAACTTAAGCCACTTCCGCATGAGTTCGATTCCCGCCTGCCCTGGAGGAGATCCACATGGCGAGGCAGACCTCTCCTGACCGGCCCACTGCTCCCCTCAGCAGTGTACTTCATTAATCTGCCTGTTCTGCTCCCCACTCTGTCTCTGGTGAATCCTCTCACCCTCCGCATCTCTGGCCTGTACCCCAGTTCTGTATGAATAAATAAATCTTTAAAAAAAAAAAATCTAAAATGTGGCCCTCCCTGGTGGTGCAGTGGATTAAAGCACAGCACTAAAAAGCTAAAGCCACTTCAGCATGAGTTGGATTCCCGCCCTGGAGGTGACCCGCATGGCACTGCAGACCTCTTCTGACCCACCCACTGCTCCCTTCAGCAGTGTGCTTCATTGATCTGCCTGTTCTGCTCCCTGCTCTGTCTCTGGTGAATACTCTCACACCCCTGCACCTCTGGCCTGTACCCCAGTTCTGTATGCATAAATAAATAAATATTTAAAAAAAATTAAAATGTGGGAAGAGTGTACTGGACTATGGTGATGGCACATGGGTGAATTGGTGGTGGGGAGCACAGGGAGATTACAACTGAGATGAAAAATGCATTTAAAAAAATAGTTAAATTAATTTTCAAAAGAATTTATCAAACCTTAATAAAATAAAATAAAATAAAAATGAGGGCCTACCTGATAGCACAGAGATTATAGACAGCACTATCAAGCTATTGCCAGCCATTGCAGTACTAGCTTGATCCCCTGTCAGGGAACTGTCCCACATGGTGCAGCAGACCTCTCCTGCCTCACTCTCCTGCTCCCCTGAGCAATGTATTTCAATACCTCTGCCTGTTCTCCCCACTCTCTCTCTGATAAATCCTCTCACACTCTCTCTCTCATGCACCTCTGGCCTACACCCCAGTTCTTGTATACATAAATAAATAAATTATTGGGGGAAAAAAACTAAAAATGGAAATACCCTATGACCCAGCAATATTACTCCTAGGTATTTATCCTATCAGAAACTGCATAAGAGAAGAATTATGTACCCCTATGCTCTTAACATCATTACCCAATACACGGAAACTAAATGCCCATTGACAGAGGACTGGACAAAGAAACCATGGTATATCAATATATATTCAATGGTATATTGCTCAACTATTAAAAAAAAAAAAGATGAAATAGTGCCTGCTGATGAAATAGGGCCCTCCCTGGTGGAACAAGAAGTTAAAGCACAGCACTATGAAACATTCTGTGGCCACTGCAGCAGGGGTTCAATCCCCCGCCAGGGAGGTGACCCACATGGCACAGCAGACCTCTCCTGACCTGCTCACTGCTCTCTCAGTAGTGTGTTTCAGTACATCTGCCTGTTCTGCCTCTCACTCTGTCTCTGGTGAACCCCGCAACTCTGGCCTGAACTCCAGGTCTTTATGCATAAATAAATAAATCTTAAAAAAAAAAAACAAAACCAACAAAGAAATAGTGCCTGTTGAGAAAATATGGATGGATCTTGAGATGCTTATGCTAAGCAAGTAAGTCAGAAAGTGAACAACAATTACTATCTGGCTTCTTTCATTTGGGGAATTTAAACACCCAAACTAAAGAAAAAACCAAACTAGCAGAACACAATGTATACAATTCTTGGGCACCATGAAAAGTATAGTAGTTACCAGGTGTGAAGGGAGAGGCAGTAGTGTGCTGGTGTAGGGGCACTGAGCTTTGGTGCCAGGCAAGTTCTCATAAGCTCATGTTGAGGTACAAAGTTGAATTCTCAGTTTTCCCTCCCTCTGAATAAACTGGGCATAAGGGAGATAATCAGGCAATTGACATAGGAAACTAAAACAGAAAAAAGGAAAGGAAAAAAAATAAATGGTGTCCCTCAGATTGAGGACTTGAGAGATGATTAGAATAAGCCTAAATTGTGAGAAGGATGAAATTGGCAGGGAGCAGAAACTAAGAAGCAGCAGAAGGGGACACACAGAAAAAGCTGTCCAGTAGAAAACTGAAACACATTTTAGGACTGGGAAGATGTACATCTGTTGCATGAACACATATTTAATGAGAGAGAAATGTGCCAAGGAGATCTCTGTAGTGTTTTTCATTCATAAACATTTTTTTTTTAACTTGTACTCCCAAACTTCTATGTAGTTGGAAATGAATGGGAAATCAACAGAATTTTGAGGAGAAAAAAGAAACACTGTTCCAGGCACTGACATATACCCTAGTCAGCCCAATGACCCTCTCAACTCGTAATGCAGACTGCCTCCTACACTGCTATATCAATGCAAACACTTCACATCTGCCTCTGGCATCTGCCACCTCCTGCCCAAGCTGAAGTGTATGGAATCTGCACAGCTGCTCTAGTGCCCAAACTTAAAATTATTACTCTTTCTCCTCTAGACAAACTAGTTCTCTCGTGTAATTCTCAGCAAAGAAAAATGCAAGATGAATTAATAGATTTACAACTCTGAATAAATGAAGTCAAATATTCTACCTTGGAATGTAAAACTCTGATGGAATCTGTGAATCTGAGTCACTTCTGAAATGTGTTATCAACTCATATAAATTTAGATAAAGGAATTCAGAAACCAATTCTTAACACTTTAACTGAACTCCATCTATCAAATTCTAGATTCTTTAACTAATGTGCAAATCTATGCTAACCCTTCCATAGGCCACAAGTACTTAGGACAAAATAGTTCAAGGTCTTCCATAAACCATCAATCTACAGCTCCTATCACAGCAATTTCAATATGAATGCACATTGTAAAAATAAGTTAACACACACACACACACTCTCCCCAAAGCTAATCTATAGTTGACAAGCTTTTGAGCAGTTTAAAACATCAAAGGTGTCCCTATGTCAACCGTCTATGAGCTAACGTAGTGTTTGTCAGGGCACATAGCCCACCCTGTCTAGGGATATGCTTCCAGCACCAGGGCATTTGAGCTGCTGTTGCTTCAGGGTTCACACTTCTACTCCTTCCTAACCCTCTCCAAATTGTTTGAAAATGGATCTCTAAAGTCATCAGCATATCTGGATGCCCTTCAGAGCACATGTGCGTTGTCCAGATTGCATACCCAGTGACAGGAAAGTAGGAACTGGAATTCTGGACTAGTCTCTGGTCATCATCATCTCTGGTCATCTGGTCACTTCATGATTGAGAAATACGCATTTCCAATTTATAGTTCCTCGGAGATACATTTGAAAATTGGGAAGTGATCAGATATTAAACATTAAATTTTCCTGAGGGGATATTCATACATAAATGTAATCCCCATTAGGGACATCAACTAGTCAGAATAGAAAAAGAGAGAAATAAAAGAAGATTTTGATATTTATTATTTCCCTCCCCAAATCAAAATTGTCTTTATCAGAAAAATCAGAAGTATGTAGTAGGTTAATTTTTTTTTCTTTGAATTAAACAGAGGCTGGGAAATAAAGAGTAAGAAGCAACATCGTTTTAGTGCTTACTAAATTCTTAACTGAAATTCTATGTCAGAATCTCCGTTTCTTAGAAAATTGGTTTTGAGTTGATAGAGCTTCCCAGTTAAAACAATGTAACCAGATATACTATATAGGCATGATATTTAAACACAAACTATATTGCTTACAGTTCCTTATTCTGAATCATTTCAGAAAACAGTACATTTTAACATGCAAGTTAGTATTGCTTGTAAGATAATGATATAATGAGAAAGTCACAGAAGGGAGATCAAGCTTTCTTGAACAGATTACTAACAAGACCTTTTGTACATCTATCTTGACAAAAACAAAGGTTCATCTCAGTAGCAGTGAGCTTTTCTTTTGTAAACATAATTATAAACATACACACTACAAACAATATCAATTTTTATATTAGTATTGGTAGGAGGGGGAGGGAGACATCATATCATGTTAGCAGTTTTCTGTAGAATCACATTAGAGTTTCATTGTGGTATTTATATCATGTGAAAATCTGGGTGGGATTTTTTTTTTCTTCTAAATGGTTTCATTGTGTATTTCGTGAATCTGATATGGAAAATTGCTAATGCAATAAGAGCATCAGATAAGCTTTCCTGACTGTAATGCTCAGCTACAATAATCAGAAAAAGGCAGCATGACTGGGCTGGGGGTTTTCAGGGCTCACTCTCCACAGTCCTTGACAAGACCTCAGCTTAAGTTCAACATTGACTTTTGAAATCTAGGCCTTTAAGACCTATTGCATGGTGGAAACTCTACTACAGGTTTTATTTCAGAAGAGACCATGCATTAATTAAAAGATATGGCAATTAATGAATATTTATTGACCTAGCACCATGCAAATTACTGTGGTTAATATTAAGGGGATGAAAATGATAGATGAAACATAGTCCCTTCCTTCTCGTATCTTGAAAATACTGTTGGAGGAGAAGAAATAAATTAGCATGTGAATAACTTAATACAAAAGAAGCTGTGTCAAGAGTGGAAATGAAAAGAGCCACAGTTGCTCAGGAGACATACCTGGGATCGGGGTCATCAGAGAAAATTCTCTGTCAGCAGCACCCAGACAGGACCACAAATGATGAGGAAGATTCTGGTGAGAGACCGGGAAGCAGGAGAAGAATTCTGGGCCTTAGCATGAGTAAAGATACAGAGAAGAAGAACGTCAAAATATGCACGGGAATCACAAAGCATTATTTTAATTGCAACATAAAATATGAAAGAAGTGGCAAGATAAGCCTGGAAAAGTCATCTAGGATCAGCCTGAGGCTGATACCAAAGGAGAACAGTGCACAGTGCATGGTGTTCCGTATAGTTTGGGATGGAAATGTCAGATGCAGTACCCACAGGATTAATGTCCAGCTTTCAAGGATGTGATGGCTTCTAATATTAACAAATCCCTGGAAATCTTAACAACTCTAGTTAGCACACGTTTCTTAAGAGACATATTTATAGAATATTTATTTTAAAAGCTTAGTTTATTGCCAAGGGATATTTGTTTACTTTTTTATGTCTCTACTCATGGCATGGATATTCACTAGGTTAACTGAAAAAATTCCTTCAAGTACACATTCTGTTGTAGCTACTTGTGAATTTACTGAGAGTTGTTTCTTTGGTTTTTGCTTTAGAATAACTTTTCAACTCACTGGCAATAGTAACAAAGGAAATATGAATCCAATAGCCTAGAATTACAACAATTTGAAGCAATCTATGCTTTCAATGTACTGTTATATTTACTGTTTTATTCTGGATATATCGCTGGTTCTGAATAGTTCTCCGAATGTTAAAAGCAAAACACAGAAAATCTGCATTAAATTTCTTTAGAGATTTAACACCAATGTAATGCTTTACAAACTTTAAAAAACTATTCATTTCCCATAACCTTTACCTTCTCTTAAATCAGAATATATTTTGCCATATTAAAGCAGAATGATGAAATTTCTGCTTTATTTATTGCAGAAGAAACATCAGATATAAACCAGTTAGTTGTCTAAATGCTATAATGAGCACTTGTTAAACACTCTCCAATTTGGCAAAGACGCTGCACTTTCATTAATCAGAGTTAAACTATAAAACTGAAACTGAAAATTTTTATCTTTAGGAAATAATTTCTTGACTGATATTTTCTCTTCCAACTGACCACACAATGAGAAAATACCATTTGTTTATTACTTGCAGATATCCTTAGCAATGCTTCATATATAAACAAAACCAAAAAATTTTCTTTCTCATTCCATGTCTTAGGCAATCAGAGATGTAGTAGTTGCTATCCTTGGATAGTTTCTGATTGACTAAGGATGTGCACATAAAAGAACAAGATCTGTAAGAGGAGAAAAGTCAAATTGTTTGTGCTGACTTTCAATGGTTGATGACAAAGAGAATTGTGCAGTACTGAGGTGTTTAACTGAAAATTTGATTATATCTTTGGTTTTAATAAACACTGCACTAACAGAAATCAGTTTACTCACATCAGGCATATGCTGGCATTCTCTTAAACATAGCTTGAAACCACAGGGCTGAAGCATAAAACAACTCTGACAAAGATAGTCAGTCAAGCATAAAAATGGGAGTTGTTTGTGTCAGAATAGATTAAGAGGCCAAAGGCTGTCTGCTAAAGACAGCTGCTTTGCCATAGATGAAGACTATCACCATGATAGCTATTTTTCTGATATATTATTTGAAACTTCTGTCATATTTAAAATACTCCTTATTTATAAACCATGACATCATTTTGTTATCTGTAATGTCCTCCATAGATAACCACAAACTTGAAAATGGTCCAACATCTTGATCATGGCTTCCTACAAGCATGGGGGATCTCACTTATTGAATTGTCTATTTGGGGTTAGTAGAATGTGTTTGGGTTTTACTTTTACTTCCTTTTTAAATATAGGTCACTATTTTTAAATGTAAACATCCAATGGCATTTCCTCACAATGACAGGAATCCTCACGCAGAAAACAGGCTTGCAGTTCTTTCACTCACCCAGAAAGATGCCCCAAATGTTCTCCTCAACTATGGTCAAGGAAATGGCATTATTAAATGCCTTCTGACTTGACACTTAGCCTCTACTCTTCCTGTTAAGCAACACTTCCAAAAGATCATCTAAGAAATCTGGCAAGCCACTGAAATGGTACTTGCAAATTAGATCCATTAAAAGCGATCCATGGAGTGCTGTGGGTGTGTATCCGACTGTGAATTACTGGGTGAAGAATTTAGATGCAATTTTATTCCAAAACTAGCTGTACATCATTGGTAGGTTCCTTAAGAGTACCAATTCCAGCCCAGAAACAAGTCAACAGTCAAGGGAGTATTCCTACACTATCATTTCAAATTTCCACTGTCAAGGGTGGGAGGAGGAAGGAATAGTAACGGGAAGACTTGTCAGCGATTAGCCATCCATAAAAATGTTTTCCCTGTGCTCCTCCTTCTGATCACAATGCTGGCGTCAGTTAGTCTCCTGTATCTGTTCCCCACCTCGCCCCCCCTCCAGTCTGCGGAGAGCTGGCACTGAATAGCAGGCTAAGGAAAAGACAAACATCAGCTCCCAGCACAATCCAAGCGCTAGCCCACAGACACTTGAACAACATTCCTAACTTTTTTTTTTTTTTTTTGCTCACTTCGCTTGCCCTGTCAAAGGTAAGCAGAGAGAGAGAGAGAGAGAAAGAAAGAGAGAAAGAAAGAAAAAAAAAAAAATGAAAAAGAAGGCCAAAGGCCAGCATTCACAATTAGGACCCCATCCCTGTACCCTGATTTCTCCACTACTCAACTCCCTCTCCCCAAGCACAGCAAACTGTTACTCAGATGCTCAAAATCTGGATCTACAAGGCGCTGGTGCACTAACTCAGCCTCATTGCGGTGCTCATGCCCCAGGGTGGACAGCGAGCTAGAATCCTGGCCACAGCCCCGCACGCCTGCCCGCCCGTTGCCCACGGTGCAAGACCAGCCTCTTCCGACAGGTCCCAGGTGCCCAGGCTGCCGAGCTGTAAAAGACAGGAGATCAACTCCCACGGAGCTGTTCCCTTCGGCCACTCGCCCACGCCACCCCACCCAGACCTGCTCCGCCACCAAATTCAGGGATGGAGAGTACAAAGAGCCTAGCCACACACCAAAGAGCCTCAAAGACTTCCCATGTGGAAGAAAAAGTTGACCGCGCACGCAAATGCCCAGCGTGCACGGGGAGGGTGCCTCTTACCTGTCCCACGATGCCACTCATCCCTCCCTCCCACCCTAGGTTGGCTTCCCCCGACTGCCCCCCCCCACCCCGCCCTGGGTTCCCGGCTGTCCGCTCCCAGTGCTGCGCACTCACTGCCTGGCTGTGCGAGCCCAGTAGCAGCAGGGCCCGGGCGGCTGCGCGTCGTCGTTGTCGGCGGCGGCGGCGGCAGCGGCGCGGCGGCGGCGGCGCGGGGACGGAGACAGCGGCTGCAGCGGCGGCCCCAGCCGGCGTCAGTCAGACTGGAGCCGTGAAGCCTCATCGCCCGTATTAGTACGCGGACCTGGAATGCGGCCAGGAGCCGGGCTCGCGGGCCCGCCCCCGCCCGCCTCCATGAGCCCAAGCTGCTCCCGGAGCTGGCAAGGAGGGGGAGCGGGGCCCGCCCGCAGCCACGTGCACTGAAACTTGCCGCAGGGGTACCCCGATGTTGCGGGCATGCGGTAGCCTCAGGGCCTCGGGTGGCGCCCTTCATCTCGCCACTAGAGCCCAGACTTGCCCGTAGCCCGTATCCACTCTCAGTCCCCATGGGGGTGGGGGTTGCAGGGTAATGGGGCTCTGGACAGTGTGGTTCACCTCGCGGCTGTTCCTTCCCCTCCACCCTGAGACTTCTTGCCTCCTTCTTGAGCCTGAGATGCAAGGAGGGTTTTTGCCAGAGAGAACCAGCAAATCGGTTCGCAGAGCACTTCATCTTACCCAGTAGCTCTATCTTCGGTCTTTACAAAGGTCCAGTAACCCTAAAATTGAAGTGTAATAACCATGATAGTTATTGTTACTATTATCTCCATGTCAGAGTAAGAGGGTGTCACCCTTTTGGCACCCATGGACAGTGCCAAAGCAACTGGATTGCACTCGAATAGGCAGAAGAGAATCTAATCACTCTGAGGGTGAGTGGTGGTTAAAACTAACCATATAATTATATAATCTGACGCTTTCTTATGCATATTTATTTGCCTAACAGCCTAGCGTGTAGCATGTAACATTATCTAATCTAATAACACCAATACAACAGTATGCAGACTGAGGAACGTTAATGTACAACCTTGTTGCCTCAAAATTGGATAACTCCTAGGTGGCCTTTTGAGGTCGCTGTGGACTCTCCCAAGGCACTCAGAATACCTCAGGAAATGCCACCCTTTGATTCTTCATTAACCAGTAGCTCTTCTTAGAAAAGACATTTACATCAAAAGTAAAACTAGAATAAAGTCATTCTAGGCAGTATTTAACTTGCTGAGTATATAGAAAAATCACTCTTTTCAAAGGCCCAAGGTCCTTAAAATTTAAGTGCAAGGCCTTGATTTTAGCTGCTGCTTCTAGTTCTCCAACCACTGCAGTTTCTTCTCTTGGCAGATGTCAGTTTTTGGCATTATCATACTGTTGCAGTTGCATAAAACAGCATTTGTACAAAGTAGAACATTAAACCCAAACTTAAATCATCTTTCTACACCTGGGCCACTTACCTATGCTCTATACTAGGAGTTAAGTTTGAGAGTAGCCTGAGTGTGTGACATCATGAAATATTTGGACTTATGCTGCAGAATGCAATCCATGTGTACTTAACTGCAAGTAAAGGAATTAGGTCCTCAGAACTGATACTTTGAGGCTCACTGGAAAAAAAAAAAAGGTTACTTAGAAAAGATGGTCAATGACTGTCTCAGCTTCCTTTATGTACATTTTGCAATGCAAAGGACAAATGCAGGAGGAAGAAATAGCCTCTGCAGTGCTGGTTCATGCTTCTGGCATGGAGTCTTTAAGTTCACAGAATTTTGTTGGCTCTTAGCAGGACTTTATTTGTAGATTCTTCGACTCTACTGCCTCGCCTTTTTCTGTACATTCTCATTTACATACCAATAAATTTCAGCACCTAAAAGTTAGCCTGTCATATAAAGAATGCCTGTTATTTATTCCTCAAACTTATTATACAAAGTTAATCCCTTCTACCCCCGCCCCCCCCAAAATGAGTTCCAACAAAAAATTGCCTGTCCTGGTAAAGATGGCTTAGTATTGACAGTTTTCAGGAAGTGACTATCCTTCTAATGGGAAATTCCAACTTTTTTCTTTATTTTTCCTCTTAATATCTTGATTAGCTATATTTTTATGGCTTGCTAGAAATCCCACCAAAGAAGCTACATAATAGGAGTCATGTGAAAGGTGAGACTCAGTCCCAAATTTTAATTGGGTGGAATTTCCAGATACACATATAGGTGATATCTTAAAACCACGCTAACACCAGAACATGAAATCCTACAGCCGATAAAACACAACAAAGCCTATAGCACTCCACCAATGTAACGACTGTGCTTTGTACATCTTTTATACCCTAATTGTAAAATGGTTCCACTCAGAACCGTAACAAGGAATTGTCGCCTACACACCCTCCCACTTCCAGACCTCTTCCCACATTGCATCTGCATTTCTGCCCTAGCTCTGCACTTGTCCTGCCTCCTGCCTGGAACTTCAAGGGCCATCTTTCCTATTAGATCCATTATGGAGAACCTGTCTGAGTACCAGGGGGCTGGGCTCACTGTGGAGACACAGGGCATTCTCTCAGTAAACTCAGTCTCAGTAGGTGACACATATATTCCTAGCACACTCATGTAACTGAGTATCGGTATGAGTACAGGGGAGATATAAGGGGGACCTCCATAGAGGTGAAAATTCAGCTTTGAAAATCTACCACCCTCTGGGCATCCACAGCCTCAATGGGGGCATTCTGAGGGGCTGGGCCTGGAGGCAGGGTGTAGGCTGAACCAAAGCCTCTTGGCCAGGCAATCAATACAAGCATCACTTGCACAATTATAAAGGCAGCCCCTGATAGCTATTATGCAGAATACCTTGAAGTTCTGAGTATGAAAAAATCTCAGTTTTTCTAGGAAACAGTCAAACTAGTTGGATTTTTTGAGGTAAAAACATCACAGACTAAATGCTTTAGAATTGAGACAAAAGAGCTGCAGAGTATCTTGGTTAGTGGTGAAGAGCGACAGCTGTCTCCTGCTGTGAGAGCCCCCTGGTTTGTACCGGCTAGTACCCTGTACACATCTTCTCATTTCCTCCTCAGGATATCTCCTAGGTAAGAATTAGTATACCTGCATCCTCCGTGGTGGCACAATGGGTTAAAGCACAGTACTATGAAACTAGCCACAGCTGTGTCAGCACAAGTTCTATCACTGGCCAGGGAGGTGATCCACATGTCACAGCAGACCTCTCTAGTCTCACCCACTGCTCCCCTCCCTCACCCACTGTATTTCAGTCAATCTGCCTGTTCTGCTTCCCACTCTGTCTTTTGTGAACCCTCTTACCGCCCCTGCCCCTCTGGCCTGTATCCCAGTTCTGCATGCACAAATAAACAAATATTTAAAAAAGTAAGAATTAGTAAACCCATGCTACAGCTGAGGGCCCTGAGGTAAAGTGAAATGTGTCCACGTATCTGACTTGACATTCAAACTCCAGTCGACCTGTTTCCAAAGCCCAGATATTTAAACATAACACCTCACTGTCTTCCCAGAACTTTAAGTAGAATTGAAATGTTTGAGAAGAATGTGACATTTAAGAAGAAAACTGTCTTAGCTACAAAGTAGAAACTTGTGGGTGAGTAAAGCTTAGTGGGGGGGGAGCGAGAGGAAGTTTGGGCGGACAAATTAGGAGACCATTGCTATCATCTAGGTATAAGGGGAAAAGTGTCCCTGGAAGGGGCCGGCGTCTGAGGAATCTAGAAAAGTGAGGGGTACATTTAATGGATACTTTTAAGGGGAAGTCCATAGAATTTCCTCCATAAAATGGAGGAAGCAAGATCCAAGGATGGAGAAAATGGCATCTTTGGACAAAATATGTATATGATGATGGAAACAGCTTTGAAGAAAAAATAAGATAGGCTCATCATCATAAACCACGTAAATATGTATTTGCTGTTTTTTCCCCCCTTATGAAATTTTACAACCTGTTTTGATAAGTTCTCTATAAGAATGCTATATCCCCTCAGCCTGGAATATAATAGATTCTCAATAAATACTTTCTGAATGCATGAACCACTTTAGTATGTGGGTAAAAATATCAGGAATGTGATTAGAAGAAAGATATAGACTTGGAATTCTACTGATAGGAGTGATAGCAGAAGCCAGCAGAATAACTGAGTTCTGTAATGAAGAAATTACAGAGAATAAGCAGAAGAAAGAACTTGCACTTGTTTTGGCAGAACTGGGGAAAAGTGGAGTGTTACAAAGAGACAAAAGAATGGGGCCAGAGGTGGAATGTTAACTCATAGTTCTACTGCTAAGTTTCCTCTCCTTTATAATCCCACCATTCCTCATGACTTCTTATATATATATATATATTTTTTTTTTAAAGATTTATTTATTTGTGCATACAGAACTGAGGTACAGGCCAGAGGCTCAGGGGCGGCGAGGGGCTTCAGCAGAGACAGAGTGGGGAGAAGAACAGACAGATCGATGAAGTACACTGCTGAGGGGAGCAGCGGGCGGCTCAGGAGAGGTCTGCCACGCCATGTGGTCACCTCCGGAGCAGGCGGGGATCGAACTCATGTGGAAGTGGCTTAAGCTTCTTTTGCAGTGCATTAACCTGCTGCGCCACCAGGGAGGGCCCATATATATATATATTTTAAGACATATTCATTTATGCATACAAGAGCTGGGGTGTAGGCCAGAGGTATAGAAGGGTGAGAGGCTTCACCAGAGACAGAGTGGGAGCAGCAGAAGTCTGCCATGTGGGTCAGCTCCCTGGCTGCCTATTGAACTCCTGCTGTAGTGGTTGCCAATAGCTTCATGGTGCTGGGACTTAACCCCTTGTAGAGCCACCATGGTGGCTCCTCCTCATGACTTCTTTACCTTACTCTGTAGCCTGGTTTGCAGGATGAGGCTAAATTGTCAAAGCATGAAGTTGACCAGATTGAGGTAGAACGAGGAAGTGGGGGGGGGGACCTGAACACATCTCTTTCTAAGGCAACTCCAGTTAGCAGCTGTCATATGAGAATGGGACCATTTTTTAAAAGGGCAACTGATATGCAGGACTTTATGGAAAAATCATATAATTAAAAATTTTTCTAACCCCATTATTTTTTTAAGATGCAAGTCAAAGAAAAAACTTATGATCTGATCCAAATCTGAAAGTCACAACCTCTGAGCTTTGTCCTCTCTCTGGTCCATTTCAGGGTCTTTTTTTC